ACCTTAAACTTCTGGCCTTGCATTCTGTATTAAATGAACAGGATAATTTAAACATGTTTTACCCAGCCAGTAAAATCTTTACATCTTCATGTGTTTGTTTTATAAGTAAAATTACATTGATGTTACAAAGCATAGAACAAATTAGTTAATATTTTCATGATGTTAATTGGCAGGTATTTGCCTCAAGAGGAATGTCCAGAGATTTAACTCAATAGATGAATAGGATGGGAGTATGTTTTATAGCTACAAAGAAATAATTGATACAATAGTTATAATTGGGAAAATATATGCCTTTTATTTTTCAAGCTTTATGGGTACTTTAATACAAAAATACTCAAGTACATTTACATCAGTGACTACTTATTTTAAAAGTGTGTGATCCTACCATTTATTAAGTTCAATATATGTGGTGAAACAATTTGTTTTTTGGGGGTGGGGGTGAATAGGGTCTTGCTATGTGTACAGGCTGGCTTCAAAGTCACTGTGTTGCCCAGGCTGGCCTTGAACTCACAGCGATCCTCCTGCCTCAGCTGCATGAATGCTGGAATTACAAGCTTGCACCACCACACCTCGCAAACCATTTCTATTCAAGGGAACATTTGAAATTACTGTATGTACTTTAATATGCTTTTTTAAAAAAAAATAGGCAGAAAATTTTAGGGCTGCAAAACCTACTTGGCTCATTTCCAAAATTAAAAAAATATATTTTAAAGCAAAGCCCCATCTGCTGTTTCCATTAAAATCTCCAAATTTTTTAACATTGCCAGGAGGTTTTTTTTTTTTTTTTTAAATTTTGCCCAGTGTGTACTCTAACAGTGGTATAACTTTCAAGGTCACTTTTTGTTAGTGTAGAAGAAAAATCAACAATACTAATTTTTCTCAAACTCTGCTAAAGTTTTAAATTGAGTAATGGTTCAAGTATACATTATTGCTCTGTGTGTGTGTGTGTGTGTGTGTGTGTGTGTGTGTGATACTTGAGATTGAACCAAGCCCTTTTTTATTATTTATTATTTTTTGGTGCCAGGAATTGAACTCAGCACCTTGCACTTGCCGGGCAGGCGCTGTGCCTCTGAGCTATCTTCCTAGCCCTTTGACCTTGTTTTGAGACTGTGTCCTGCTAAATTGCCAGGCTGACCATGAGCTTGCCATCCCCTTGCTTCAGCCTCCTGAGTAGCTGGGATTACAGGCGTGCGCTGCCAGATCTGGTTTATTACAGATCTTTCAATACCAAACATTCACATCATTATCCCCATTTCTTAAGAATTAGATTTTAGAAATGGACACATACGAATCTCTTTAGCTTTTTGAAAAAGGAGATTCTTACAGAATTTTTAAAGAGCAGCTGGGGATATAGCTCAGTAGAATAAGTGCTTCCCTGGCAAGCCAAGGGCCTGAGTTCCACCTCCAGGTTAAAAAAAAAAAAAAATTAAAGATGTTCCTATTTGACTTCTTAGATACTTCCTCACTTGGCAAGGAAGGGACAGTAGATTCACTTTCCTATGTTTTGCTTAGCCTAATATATAAAAATTTGAACCTCCTTGACACTGGAGGGGTTTGAAGGGAGATGGATTCAGGGAGCATGATGGATTGGACTACAGTTAAAAATAAAATATATGCATGGATGATTAATAAAATAGTTAAAAATACAATGTTTGCATGGATGATTAATAATCAAATATATCAATGATACCTAATTATTAAGATCATAATTTTAAAAAGTTGGTTTAGCCAAGATTCCAAATCATTGCTCGAAGCTTCCCGGGCTCCTCACTGTCAGGATGAAACCCTCACACGTGGCTGCGGCAACCTGAGTTTATCATCTGGTCTCTGCCTTTTTCTCTAGCCCTGCCCTCTGACGGCCCCTTTCGTTAACCTGATTCTTCAGCTGTTTTAAACTCCTGAGCAGTCTCCAGGCACCGTGAGCTCGAGCTGGCAGCCTTTGCCTTCCTAGGCACTTGGCATGGCCACAGAGCCGTCTCTTCTTTCCTTCCCTTTGCCGGCTGGCTACCTTTCCTGTTTCTTCCCATAATATACTTCTTTTCATTTTTTTCAGTACAGGGGATTGAATCCCGGCATCATGCATGCCAGGAATATGCTCTACCCCTGAACTACTTTTCCAACCGTTTTTTTTTTTTTTTTTTTTTTTTTTTGTCTTGTTAAGTTTTTTTTTTTTTTTTTTTTGAGTTTTAGGGTCTTGTTAAGTTGCCCAGGCTGGCCTGGAACTTGCTGTCCTCCTGCCTTAGCCTCCCAACAGCTGTTATTACAGGTGAAAGTAATTTTTATTATTAGATTCTCCTCCACCACATTAGAATGAAATTCTTTTTTATTGGAACTAGAACTGTGAATCTTTGTATTCTCAGGACCTGGCACACAGGAGCTCTGAGGGAGGGCCAGGAGGCCAGGTCCTGCTTTACTGTTTCACCAAAAGATGCTTCAGTCCTTTTTATCCACTCAAGTCTTGAGAAAAGAAAATTTAAGGCTATCAGATATTTGCAGGGCATTATACACTGTGGAGATTTTAGATATATCAGGGTTGCTTATGTCCCTCTTTGAAGTAAAATTAAACCATTAGCCTGAAACAGTGATGGCTTCCCTGAGAATAGCTCTATAGATCTGGCATCTTTCCTGATCTTTTTGGAGTGAAAACCTCAGATTGTTTTATACTTTTGTGACTCCCACATTGGGATGAGCTTCCAATTAGGGTAGATTTTCTTTTGACAAACAAATTAGTTGAGTTCATAACATCTTCGTTTAACTGTGTTAAATTCATACATAGCATGTGCAACATTTTGTCATAAGTTATCTGTTAAGACTCCTGTAAACTTCAACCAGAAGAGTACGAGCCAAAAAACAATTATCTAATCCAATGTAATTTTACTTTAAGAATTCAAATATATTGTAAAGGCAGCCTATTTTATTCCCCCATAGATGGAAGCATGGCATTTTTATTTTCTTTTTACAAAATGTACAAATATGCATTCCAGTTTCTTTAGTTCACAAAAGGGTCTTTGCTTTACAATTTCTGTAAATCTATTTTCTCAACTAAGTCGTCACCCACTCACCATGTGTTGTTTTGCTTAGTTGACTAAGAATGTTTTCGAGAACATTATAATGCTTGTTTTAACCTTATTGTTTCTAGTCGAGCTTAGCTTCTGATGTCCTTTAGGTAATGAGGAGGTATCAGTGAATATCGACTCACTGATTAAGTGTTGGATTCTTCTGCTGGACATTTCTTTCTTTCTTTTGGTTCTAGGAATTGAACTCAAGACATTGTGCTTGCCAGGCAGGTGCTGTGCTGTGCAGCCCTATCCCAGGCCCCAGGTCTTGGGTCCTTTATGAGGGCTTAGTGGACCTTCTGTGTCACCCATCCTTTCCTGTCTAACCCCCTCTGCCAGCTTCACAACCAGAGCTGTAATACCCTGAGTCTAATCCCCTCCAGTTTCCCTTGCTGTTTCTTCAATTCACATAGTCAAATCTATGCTGCTGTTTCAAGAATTGCCTTCTCCTCAAATTCTCCACAGGAAACTGAGCCTTATTATTTTCTATTTCTATCCTTTTGTTTCGGTCTTTCTATTTTGTAGCAAAGCATACAGGTAACAATTTTTGGTAAAGCAATTTCATGTTTAATAAGAACATTAAGTGTATGTGTCTTTACATTGAATTTGTCCATTTAAAGCAAAGCTAATATTTTCCAGATTAGATTTCTTTTCTTTTTTTTTCTTTTTGTGGAACCAGGGATTCAACTCAGGCCCTTGCGCTTGCCAGGGAAGTGCTTATTCCACTGAGCCATCTCCCTGGCCCTAGATTTCTAAATTACCTTTTCTATTTCCCCTCTCATACTCCAGCAGGTTTTCTGACTAGATCACAGGGTCGCCAGTGTTGATTAGCTGATTAGCATCAAGAGAACTTGATTTTGGTTTAAGTCAACCAGCATTTCTTGGATACCTATTGTGTACAAAAACTATAGATATGGAAAATTCAGGGGCTGGGGAGACAGCTCAGTGGTATAAGACTCTGCATAGCAAGCGCAAGGTCATAAGTTTGAGCCCTGGTACCAAACAAAAAATAAAAAAGAAAATTCAAAAGTTAAGGTAAAAAAGCTTGTGTTCTGGGGACAAAAGGCTTCGTCTGACATCGTGTTGGTG